AGAGATTATACCACCTGAGACTTCTCAGGAAACAACACCTGAATGAAGAACTGCCGGCGACCTTCTACCGCTGCACTAGAGAGAGCATCTTCACCTCCGGCACCGGTGCGGGCGTTGCTACCTGCACAGTGGCAGATGGGAAAGCGCTCCAGAGGGTTGCCGCCACCGCCCAGAGGACCACCGGCTGCCCCCTCCCCTCTTCGGAAGACCTTTACAGCTCCCGCTGCCTCAAGAAAGCTCAAAACATACTTGAGGACCCATCCCACCCGGGACATTCTTTTTTTGAACTATGACCATCTGGCAGACGGTACAGGGTAATGAAAACAAGGACAAACAGGCTGAAAAATAGCTTTTTTCCCAGGGCTGCAACTATATTGAACTCTACTGTATAGTGCGATATTAATGTAACATCAGGGGTTGTGCAATGGTGAATAGAATGTGAAGGATGCATGTTTTTATTCTATGGTTTTTATATTTATAAGGTGCACTGGGGATGGCCTTTAATTTCGTTGTACGAGGTGCAATGACAATAAAGTTTAGAGTTACGAAGTGTCCCTGGCCAGTTCAGGTAACCCTTTGGATCCTGTCCTCCTGCCTCCCACCTGCCTCCCTCGAGCCTCGAGATCTTCAATCATCAGACCGAAGCCGCAGAGGGCGGGGGAACCTTATTGCGGGTGCTGCGTTTAGGTGGCCTTATGCAGTGCACGGGCCTGACCTTATTTTAGGGCCTTTGTGCTCTATTCTCTCCAACCGAAAGGAAATTCGGAAAAAAATAAAAATAAAAGGACTCTGGCCCTCTGTCTGTCAATGGGATGAGTCTCCAAAACCAGAACAGAATGAGACCAAATCTGGTGGGGATGGAGAAGCCACCCAAAGAAAGGCCACGTTAAACCATGAGCCGGATCCAGTGGGCGGCCGAGGGAGGAGGCACCAGAGCTTCTGTCCTGCATGAAATGGGCTGCCCGGCTCTGCTGAAGACTAAACCATTCCAGGCTTTTATAGCACCTCGCACCCCCACCCCACCCCACCCCCAAAAGCAAGAGTGGTTTTCTGCCACGACCCCCAGGCTGAGTTCTGAGCACCTAGAACCGGTGGGTAAGACTTTTTTTCCCCCACCCACATCACACTGATCTACGTTTGCCCTCTGATGCTTCACCTTCCCCCAGACTGGGAAGTGAGTTTACTACATCCTCTTGGAACTCGTTCTTGGGTCCTGGAGCGTGGCCAATCGGTTCCACTGTGGCCGGGCCTCTGGACGTATGCCTGGGAAGTGCCCAGAAGGCCCTGATCGGCCACCCCTGAGCAGGGAGTCTCTCCTGCAGGAAGAGCTGCCAGTGGCAGGTCCCAAGTGAGCCTTCAGGGAGGGCCCCGGGCCGCCTTCTACTGCCCCCTCCCAGGAACAGTGGGGATGGCCTGGCCCTGCCCTGCCCTGCCCAGGGGGCTTGCTTTTCCCGTTCCAGAATGACGGGATACTCCTGGCAGAGGTCACTTTGGGTCAGAGAGGGATCATCAGCGTGAAGCCCAGATGGATAATTGAGACTTAGCAGAGGAGATTCCATCGGGCCTCCTCGCTTTCTTCCCACCAATATCCATATCCGAATCCCACGTAAACAAAGACCAGAGAAAGTATTATCCTTTTTTTTTTTTAGAAAAAGAACCTTTACAATAAGGTTTATTATTAACTTTAGAAAAAAATAGATAAAGTAACAAAAGGGTTCTGCATAGCAGAAAATTACTAACAAGGCTTCTGAGAGCCTCCGTTTGTGCAAACAGTTTATCAGTTGTGTAAACATTGGTAGTCAAGTGTTCAAATACAGTGGAACTGCTACAGAAATGAGATGCGCTCATGATCGTTTTTAGACATTTATAAAATCCAAACGCGGGCTGGCTTCCCGTCCTTCCACACCAATGCCCAGCACCACCGGCAGCTTCTGCACCACCTGCGGTTTACCACTGCAGGGACTCTGCTTCTCCCGCCGCTCTCCGTGCAACAATGGGCCCTGGCTCCCGGGCCCAGCGCGGTGGGATTGCACACCACTGAACGCCCAACTTCCAGCACCCGGAGCCGCCTCCTGCTCCCCTCCTCTCCGGCACATCCCTGGCTTAATGCTCGTCCCTTACAACTTAAAGGGGAAAGACTCCAGGTAATCCTTTAGGACCGGGTTGAGGGGGATGTGCCGCAAATTCTCCCTGCCAAAGGTCGCCACGATGTTCTTGCGACAGAGGTCCTGCAAAGACCGCAAGCGCTCCTTGTGCAGTGGGGCAACCAGGACCTTCCGGGGAGAGTTGACGTAATGTTCCAGCAGCTGGAAGAGGCAGTCAAAGGCCTCCTTGCTGCCATCCAGGCTGAACCGGCCTGCTTGGAAGAGGATGCGGACGCTGGTCGGTCCGGTGGCCGTCTTAACGCTAACGGTGAAGAAGCAATTCTTTTGCCGGCTGTCGCGGATGAGGAAAGTCCCCACCAGCTCATCCTTCAGTTTCTCGTGCGCAGCCCTGACAGACAGCGGACCCCAGTAAAAGCCACACTTGTCCAGCAGGGCGCTGGTGCGGACGATGACACCAAAGTCCTCCTGGGAGCGGAAGGTGTGGAAGTGGGTGTCCCGCGGGGCTTGCACGGCGCTATGGGGGGCGCGGGCCTGCAGAGCGTCCCGGACAGAGGGCTCAAGCTGACATCTCAGCTCCGTTGCAATTCCATGCTCAGGCGTTACACTACTGTGTGCTACCATCCTACAGCTGAGGTCCGCTGGAGGTGCCTCCCATCGCTTCGAGGGCCATGGGAGGGTTGCTGTACTGGGGCTCTCCTGCAAATCAGAGAGAAACCAAAGGAGATTAGATTGGATCCACCGAGAGCGAGTCAAAGCAGCCCCCCGCCGGGACCACGAAGAGGGACGTCCGTCTCAGTCAGAGAATCAAACCTCTGCTTAGGCGAGCCCCATTTGCGGCTGCCTCTCTTGGAAATGAGGCGCCCCAGCCGAAGCCACTTCTCCACCCATACGCTCCGGCATGGTTTCCTCCTCTCAGCCGCAGGGGCCCACTGACAGGAACTGCCAGCTCAGTTTCACGACGCCTTTTCCATCAGATGCTCGAACCACCAACCATGCTACCCTCTGTCCCGGCTTCTCTCCAGGAACACAGATAGAGTGAAAGACCAACCTTCAAGGCAAGCTATTTTCAGCCTTCCCTCCCTCACCGCAGAGAGCTGCTGCGGCCATACTCCTCCCTCCTGCTGGTTTTAGTTTGAATGGTTACGAGAAGGAGGGAAGACTCATAATCAAAAATACAAGCTCTCTAAATGATGCATGGAACAAAAGAGGCTTTCCTGGCACAGTGACGCCCCCCCCCCCCCCCC